ATACCACTTGTCTGCTCATATTGTGGTTGTCCCTTTAACCGCTTAGCACTTGTGATTCTGTGGAATACAAATGAAGAAATTAATCCATCCTCATCCCATAAAAACATCGCTGAGTGTGCATTGCTGCTTCTCATTATACACTCTCCAAGACCATTAAGGAGGCAGAATCTGCAGTGTACGTTACAGTTTAATTGGGCTCTTCTGATAGCACGGTCTATTTGATCAGCCAAACTTATCTTCTGCTCATTACCACCCCAAATCCTCTGTACCATCCAAGATTCTTAAAAAAACAACAACTCCCTCTCCCACAATTAAGACGTTCCACATACATGGAAATGGCTAATTGCTGAGGCAAAGAAGGGGAGGATGAGCTACTACATCGAAAGTGGAGAAGAAAAAAAAAACAGATTTTTTTTTTTGGAATTGTGAGCTCGGTGAGTATTATCAAGCAGCAGGCTGATGGATGCGATGCAACTCCTCTCCTCCAGAAAAGTCAATGATCTCATTCTGGCTCTGTTAACTCCTGCCAGATATTTCCCTTTTTCTTTCCGGCGAGCAGTGTGGGGGCAGCGGGACAGAGTCTGCCTGTGGCCTTGGTCCAAATGATGCAATTTGACAGAAACCACATGAAGAGCCTAGTGCTGGGCCACAGAGTGGCCAGAGGCCTGGAGCGTGGAGGCAGCACTCAGCGGCGCTGCACACACTCAGTCTCTCACATATCTGGTGTGCCTTTCAGCTGATTAGTTCCAAATGTGCATTGTCTGAGTAAAGCTGCATTACTGGAGCACAGTACCAGTCAGAAAATAATCATTAGACCCAAAAGAAAGAAGCAGAATGAAAGAAGCTGTTCTTAATTGCCGGCCAGGTCAGCTGCCCCCATGCTGTTTTTCATAGGATTGTGAGGTTTGCATTATAATTTTTTTTACGCACTTAGCTACAACAAAGGTATTTCAACTTTCTCTCACGTCAGCTGTTTTATTTGTCAAGGAGAAACATTCAGATTTAAACATTACAGATACACTCACCCGCTCATATGCACGCCAGCACAGAAAGTGATCCCATTCCTACAGAGTATACACAATGAATTGCTCCCTTTTAACCAGTGACACCAGCGGTTCAACATAATTAACATGGCTCTATTATTTATTTTTTGGATTAGAACATTTTAGAATTCAAATGAGCCTGTAAATGAACAGTCATTCAAATATTAGGAGTAGAATCTAGCCAAAATAGTAAAACTCATTGCATCTCAAAGACATTTATTCCGTTTCGATATATTTATGTTCTCTTCTTCTTTTAGGTCTTCTTCTGTTAAACTTGGTCAGCAGCAGAAGTAATAATCATGTGAATAATGTGAATAAAAGAGATGCTCTAGGAGATTAATAGAGCTCAGACATGACAGCTGCTTCAGCGTAAGTAAGCGTAATTGAGAAATGGTGCTGCAGAATATGATTTATGTGGATATAGAAAAATGTGATTTGGAGTTTGGAAATGTGTGAGATGTCTAGTGCTCTGGAACCCCTTTATTTAAGGATGATATATGAATTTCTTTCTATAACCCCGTAGACACATTTTCATTTATAACGTGAAAGAATGGTTGCATATTCAAATTTTTCATAACCGTTCACACGTACCTAACAGAGAGAGAACGGCTCGTTTTTTAAAATGGAAAAAATACGCATACACATTCTTAGCTGTAAAAGTCTCGAGATCGAAAACTTTCATATAATCATATACAGTATATGTTTATGATAAATGTTGTTCCCTGCCCCACTGACTGTTTGTAAATCATGGTTTGTTAAATGATCAATGGGGCTTGCTGGTAATAAATCACAGCCTTGGAATGCCACCAGGCAGTCACCACACCACCCTTCTGGCATGCCAAACACAAATAAACCAGGGGATTCAGCTGGCGTGTTGTTTCGAGTGTTACTATCAGGAAGTGTCGGGGAGTGATCTATGCTCCTCACGTAGTTCATTTGCAGCCTCAATAAGACATTCCTTTCCCAGGGCTGGAAATTAAAAGCCCGCCTAATGTTTTGAAGTTGGTTAAGGGGATGAGGCATGCCTCAACCTTCTGTTTGGGTTAGAAGCATGTGTGTTTTTGTGGATGTGTGTGTACTTCTGTGCGGATACATGAGGGTAATGGATGGGGTGTGAGT